GAGAGAGAGAGAGAGAGAGAGAGGGCAATGCATGGCGGCAACATTTTTATTGATGAGATGGCCTTATCTGTGTGTGGTTCGGGTCGTGGCTGCAGATCGGCAATCCTTCTTGAACACTGCTCGATGGGTAGAGGAAGTCCGGACGGAGCGTGGCAGTGATGTCATCATCATGCTTGTTGGCAACAAGACGGATCTTGTGGATAAAAGGTGAGTTTCCTTTTTCACACCGCCGCCCTGAGCGATAATTCACAGAAGCTCAGTGATAGTTTGCCTGCTGGTTGTAAGAGTATTGAAGAGGCGCATTCTCAAGTTCATTCAAGACATATGCCGGTAAGATATATCCAGGATTGTGTGTGTGTGTGTGTGTGTGTGTGTGTGTGTGTGTGTGTGTGTGTGTGTGTGTGTGTGTGTGTGTGTGTGTGTGAGGGAGTATCTCTTGCGGTGCTCTCCTCTTTTTCCCTGTGGTTAGAATACTGGTGTGTGGGTATAGGTTGTTGGATTCCTCTGATGACCCTCTTGGAAGGTTACACAACTTACATCGCAAATTTACTCTCTACGCAGCCACTGCACTGCCCCTTCCTATGTGCGCCATGATGTGTGGTAGGAGAAAAGCGGACTACGGTCTTCCCCTGAACATAACGCACCCCGAACATGAACGTGTACGAGGTATGTTTCCAGCCCGATACAGTCAAAATGAAGGTGCGTTGTGTTCAGGGGAAGACGGTCATGTGTTTTCTCCTAGGCTTCCTGAGCCGCCCGGCCGGGCCGGCACGGCCGTGCACCTGTGCAGCCTGCACGGCCAGGCGGCTGCAAGTGGTAATGGGGGGCTGCTGTGAATGCAGAGAAGAGGCCAAATCTGCCTTTTCCACACATGCAGAGAAGTAGTGATGGCGGGAGGGAGGCGGAGGACGGCAGGAGGGAGGAAGAAGATGGCGGAAGAATAGGACCCAAGTGGCAGGAGGGAGGCGGAGGATGGTGCGCGAGACGTGGAGATGGCGGGAGGGGAAGTGGGAGGTAGCGGGAAGTAGGTGGTAGACGGCGGGATGGAGGTGGTAAATGGCGGGAGGGGAAGTGGGAAGTGGCAGGAGGTAGGTGGGGGAAGGTGGGATGGAGGTCCGATATGGCGGAAGGGAGGTAGGAAGAAGACAACGGAAAAGTGTGGAAGATGGCGGAACAGCAGGAATGAAGTGGCGGGAGGGAGGTGGAGGATTGCGGAAGAGCAGGAACGAAGTGGCGGGAGAGAGGTGGAGGATGGTGGGAGCGACGAGGGAGATGGCGGGTTGTGGGAGGGACGAAGGAGATGGCGGGAGGGGAGGCAGGCGGGAGCGGGAGGGAGAGTAGGAGGGAGTGGGAGGGACGAATGAGATGATGAGGGAGGAGAAAAAGAAAAAGACGAAGCAGAGAAAAAATTAGCATTTTTTTCTGAACACTGCGCTGGGGTCTCGCTGGACTCGCACGGGCGTCCGGCCATGCAAAGATCCGTGCGTCCTGGGGGCACCCCTGCGCATGGAAATGAAGCCTAGGTTTTCTTGTGATTCCCATTTGGCTTTTTGCAGGGTGCATATTCGTCCTGTCATCTTGCCACATTGGTGCAACAAACCTGAATCATCTTCTTCTTCTCTTTTTTTTTTTTTTTTTTTTTTTTTTAAGGGCTATGCCGCTATGACCTTTAGATATCATCATTGATCTGAACGGTCCGAGGCAATTCAGAGTGATTTTGTTCTCTTCATCTGAAGGTGTCTGGATTCAAACTTGAGTCTGTATTTCAACAATTCAGCGGGGGTGTACCAACTGAGCTAGGGCCGTTGGTATCTGTTTTTGTATCTGATCTTAGGGGTGGGTGAAGTTGCTCATGGGCCTGTGTTGTTTGCCGTTGCACAGACAAGTTTCTATCGAGGAGGGGGATGCGAAGGCACGTGAATTTGGCGTGATGTTCATTGAAACAAGTGCAAAGGCTGGATTCAATATTAAGGTGAGCATGTGGTGAGAATAATATGTTACCTTTTTCTTCGCGGTTCTCACGTCACAAGTTTGCATAGCGAGATGTTGTGAATCTGTGAAGTCGATGAACGGGGTGGGGTGGGTGCTTGTTCCTCCCGGATTGTATTTCTCTTGTCTCAGCACCCTTGCTTTTTTTTTCTTCTGTTGTTGTTAAGGTACAGCACCGGGACTTCCCAGGAGGTCACCCATCCCAGTAGTACTATTCCGGCCCAACGGCACTTGGCTTCCAAGTTCGGATGGGATCGAGTGCATTACCCGAAGTATGACCGTACTCGTAAGTCCACGTGGTTGTGATCTACGTGGGACCCTCAGACTCGGATCCCGCGGCCTCGGCTGTGGCCGAGGAGGCTGGCCGCAACCCTGTGGCCTAGGCCGCGCGAACGATTTTTTGTGTGGCCGAGCCACGGCCAGGTGGAGTCACGCGCCGCCTGCGCACGTCGGCCCCTGGCTCCCATCCCAAAAATGGAAGTTTTTGGGGAAAAAAGAAATTTCATAGGGGTTTAAAAAAAAAGACGACCCCCCCCCAAATAGTGAATTTGAAATGGTGAGGGGTTGGTACATGTTGACGGTGTTGCGCACCCCCCATTTGGCAAAAAAAAAAAAACAATTCTGTGAGGCAGGTCTCTCTCTCTCTCTACTGCCGGGCTGCCACTTGGCAGCTCGATTTCTAACGAGCTGCCACGTGGCAGCTCTCTCTCTCTCTCTCTCTCTCTCTCTCTCTCTCTCTCCCTTGGACCACTGTCGGGCTGCCCCTTGGCAGCCGATTGCTGGCGAGCGGCCGTGTGGCAGCCCTCTCTCTCTCTCTATCTGTGTCTGACCACCGCTGCTGAATTGCCTGAAGGAGGTCGTGGAAAAAAGAACAAGAAGAAGAAGAAGAACCACAAAAAAAATGAAACAGCAAAGAACAACAAGAAGAACAAATGGAAGAAGAAGATGAAGAAACAAAGAAGAAAAAGAAGACCAAAAAGAAGAAGAAATTGGAGAAGAAGAAGAAGAAGATGGAGAACAAAAATAGCAAGGAAGAAGAAGAAGAATAAGAAAACGAAAAAAACAGCAAAGAGGAAGAGGAAGAAGAAGAAGAAGAAGAAGAAGAAACAGCAAAGAAGAAGGAAAAAAAAACAGCAAAGAAGAAGAAGAAGAAGAAGAAGAGAAAAAATTACCTGCTTTCCTTTTTAGGACTATCAGTCATGAAAAAAATGTGAAAAAAAAAATCCTGCTTTTCTTTTATTTATTTTTATTTTGTTCTTTTTAACCGATTTTCGTTTTTCATTTTTTAAAAATCGCAAATGAAGTCAAATTCAGAAACAAAAAAATGGGCTATAGGGTTTTGCAAACCCTGCAACCCGTATATATATCGTCAAACAGAGCTGCCCGTTAAACCGTAGGCAGAGAGGGAGAAGAGGACAACAAACGAGGGGAAGTGTTGCGTCGGAGTTTCACCGACTCATCAGGAGGCTATATAGCTGCACTAACGCAACTCTCCTTGGGTATCCCTGTGAACATCCCCGTCATCCTCACCGTAGTTGTCCTATCTGCCGAGGGGGTGACAGATGAAGTGTAGAAGAAACAGTTAAAAAAAGAAAACCGAGTAAAAAGTTAAAAAAAGAAACCGAGGAAAGAAAAACACAAAAAAAGAAACCTGAGAAAAAAGAAAAAAGAAAAAAGAAAAAAGAAAATATGTTCTGTGGGATGGTAATTGGATTATCTGTGGGATGTGTACTTGCTTCGTCTGTTTAATAGGCTTTCTTCTTCTGTGAGGTTTGGTTTCCTCCGCCTTTTCTTTACCTTTTTGCCTTTTGGCTGCGTGCAAGTGGGTCTTTATGACACACGGGGATGGGGGCAGCCAGCGCTCAACCTGTCATCCACGTGGCTGGCCTTGTACGTAAGAGGTTATGAACAGGTGGAGCTTTCCTTACCTCTTCTTCTCCCCCTTTTTTCTTTTCTCTTATTTTCTTCTTCTTTTTTTCGCTTCTGCGCTCTGATTCACAGTGTGACAATATATTACTTATTTTTTGACCCAAAAAAAACACCCGAAAAACCGGGCCGCAAGGTAGGCCTTGTTGGGCGCAGCCGCGATCGACTTTTCCGGCCGCAGCATCCGGTTTGCCTGCGGCCTAGGCTGCAGGTGTCACATAGGTTCTGATGCATCAATCCATCTAGCTACAGTAGATGAGACAGAGGGCTGTTGTTGTCTCCGACGAATAGGACGCCCGCCTGGTCATTATAGCTCTACGTGGGGGCAACTTCATGATGAGATACAGGGATAATGACCAGGTGTTCATGCAAGTGAAAACACCAGTTTATTTTTCGTTGTCTATTGATGATCTACTTCTGCGCATGGACTATCATTTTTTCTTGTGTTTTCATCGAGCAGTATGTGGCCAAAAAGGTCATTGTTTTCTTTTTTCATCGAGCAGTATGTGGCCAAAAAGGCTTCCTATTCTGGCATTTGCATCAATCATCTATCTGTCTGCAGATGTTGGATGCATAGTGGCGTGAATGGTTTGTCATCAGCATCGGTGTGGGGCATGAAACCCACCAGTACACCTGGGCCTGCAGGCCTGGCAGACATTGGATTTATTGTTTTTGTTTTTGTTCATATTTTCCCTGGCAGGCATTGTTTCGGAAGATTGCAGCAGCCTTGCCAGGAATGGAAGCCGTGTCGGCGACGAAGACGGAGGACCTTGTAGATGTGAAACTGACGCCAACGGTTAACCCACCACAGGCGGAAAACAAGGCCGGGGGTTGCTCGTGCTGAGCGAGGGATGGGTCGTACATGTTGTTGCTTGATTGGTATTCTTTTCTTAGGTTTGCGTTTTTGGGACTTTTGAGGGCATCTTTTGGAGATGCGAAATGTGCTGTCGCTGCTTTCAGTGTTTTTTTTTCTTTTTTTTTACGCATTGCTTTTCCAGGAGCAAGGTTTGAATAAGCCCAACTTATGGGAATTTAAAAGAGCCAATTTGCATGAACGCAACATGTCTCATGTTGGACGGGCTGATAACAATAGAGCCATCAACCAACTGCGAGAGAGCATTGCTGTCGGGTGGCTGTTGTTGCGTGTGTGCTGCACTTGCCCTCACCTCTTCTTCTAGCCTTGCCCTCACCTCTTCTTCTAGCCAGAGGATGCGGAGGGGAGGTTCGTAGTCATTTTGATAGGGGGGGTTGTTCGTTCGACGGCTTTATCCTCGGTCTGTGGTGCCGCTGTGTGTGTCTGCTTGTAGGTACTTCTCCAGATCGATGTGATCCCCTCTGTTGATGTCTTAGCAGCATGGGTCAGCAGCACATACCAGCCACACATTCTAGTCCAATGATGTGCCCACCAGTTTTCCTCCTTCACACCTTGTAGATAGTCCTTGCGGATTATTAGGGGATCTTCACAAACAACATTGTATCTTGCGGTTTAGGGCGTACGACTGTTCATGAAAGGACGTGAACGTGAGGGGAAAGGAGAAGGAACAGGTCTCACTCACCTGATCTGCAAGGTACATGTACAGGGTGCGGAATGAGAAAAGCATCGAGTGCATTGTTGCTGGTATAGGATGCGAGACTGGTGTGTTATGGTGCTGTGATTTATCTTTGACTGATGCCTGCCTGCTGTCAGACTTGAATGAGTTAAACTGCAAGTACACGGTCCCTATGCCAGCTGTTGGTGGGCCGATGGTGGATCTTGCCCTCTCTTCGGATTGGCCATACCCCTATCATATAGAAATAATTTTGGCGGGAATCCTCCTTTGCACGGGCATGCCGAGTGTTAAACCGGAAGTACACGGCCGCGGCAGCCTTGCAGAAAGTTTTTTGTCGCCACTAGCAAAACTCGGAGGGACTGCGCGGCGTGGGGCGCTGTTAAAAAAAAAAAATCGGCGGCCTCAAAAGTGGTGCCAGGTTTCCTGCTGACACCCGCGGGCCGATGTGTCGTGTGCTGGTGCTTTTTAAAACAGAGGCTGTGGGGCACTCCTGCCTGGGATTTATGGATCGCAAGTCTGTTGTCGACAAAATGGGCATGTCCTGTGGTCATGCGAACTAGACTCTTGGTTGCTCGATGGCTGCTACCTTGTGAAAGATATGTCCTTCTGAATCATAATCAGGAAGGAGTCTTGTGTCTATCTATAAGGAAGTGCAACAAGTGTCTCCAACTTATGGTGTATTGTTGTTGTGTTTTAGTTTCTGAAGCATTCTGCGGGGCTCCGAATGTGATGTCAGCTCGGACGGAGGGATATCACTTGTGAGGAGGTGTAGGTGCTCTCTGTGTTCTGATTGTTGCTCTCTTCTTCTTTTGACCGGTTTTGCTAGTTAATCTTTTTCGTTTTTATCCGATTTTTGGTTTTTCGTTTTTATCCGATTTTTGGTTTTTCGTTTTTATCCGATTTTTGGCAGTGATAGTGGAGTTGGAGCTTCGATCAGAGGTCCGAGATTAGACGGAGGTTAGGTTAGCAGTGTGGAGTCTACGTGGAAATGACATCTTTGGTGTTATCTGCTTTGTATGTTTTGGTGGTGCATCTTTTGTTTATTTAGAGGTGGCCCGTGGTTGAAAGTCTGCTGGAGTTGTTCTCAGGTCGACCTTGAAAGTCTTTTAGCAATTCCTTGGGGGTTTTGCGTCTATTGTTTGTTCTAACGTCTTCTTCCCGCCGCACTGCTACCAGGCACGGGTTCACCTATTCGACTGGTTTTTGGTTTCCTTTTGCCCTCTGTTTGGATGTCTTCATTATTTGTTAGAACTGGTGTCTGCCACTGTGCCTCCCTAAATCCCTCCCCAAATCCTACCACAGACCCAACCATGCGGGGAGAGAGAGAGGGGGGGGGGGGGAGGGTATATGGCCAGGGCTATGTGACCCCCACGGCCGTGGATCCTGCGGCTGAGGAGGCCGGCAGCTACGCGCCATGCACAGGCGGAGCCGCACGCCTGAAAATGGGGCGCGCGCATTGCCTGCGCATGGCGTCCCCCTCCGGAAGCCACTATAAAAAAAAAAGGGAAATTTGGGGGGGGGGGAGGTTGTGTGACAAAAAAATAGAAAAAATTAAAATAAAAAAACATCGATTAATTGATTGTTTTTTTGATTGATTGATTGGTGGGGGAGGGGTCCTCCCTCCCCTCCACCCGTCATGCGGGGGACACACACGGGGAAACACACACACGCACACACGTGTGCGCACAAACACATGCGCGCGCGCACAGTCGCACACACACACACACACACACACACACACACCACACCACACCACACCACACACACACGCGCGCACACACACACACACACATGCACACACAGAGAGACACACACATACACAGAAGCGTGCACAAACAAGTGCGTGCCCACACACACACACACACACGAACTAGCGTGTTCAATTTTTTTTTTCTTTCTAATCAATCAATAATCAATCAATCAATCAATCAAACAGCACAGAAGAAGAAGAAGAAGAAGAAGAAAAGCAAGTACTTTGGCAAAATTTTAAGGACTCGTGAAAGAAAAAATATGTATATGTATGTAATATTCCTGCTTTTCTTTTATTTTTTATTTTTATTTATTTTGTAACCGATTTTCGTTTTTCATTTTTTACAAATTGTAAATGAACTTGAATGAAGTCAAATTCAAAAAAAAAAAAGGGGCTGTAGGGCTTTTAAAACCCTACAACCCCATATATATATGTCCTATTCGTCACAAACAGAACTGCCCGGTAAACCGTAGGCAGAGAGAGAGAAGAGGACAACAAACGAGGGGCTGTGACAAACTGTTTCGTCGGAGCTTCACCGACTCATCAGGAGGCTGAACCCTCAACAGTCTGCAGAATCCCCTCACTGATTACACTGTAAAAAAAATTGGGCCGCAGTAGGGCCTGGCGGCTGCTGCGGCTGTGGCCGACCTCTTCGGCCGCAGGGGCCGAATTGCCTGCGGCCTAGGCCGCGGGTGTCACATAGGGCCAGGGTAAGAACCAGCAACCAGGGAAAAAATCATTCTCAGAATGCACATGCACATGTTTACTGCTTTTCTATACGATTGCAGCTCCCGGAATGTATACACCACCATCTCTATCTAATGCTGATGGCTGCATCAATCCGCAACGGTTCACACATGAGGCCGCTCCTCGTGAAGGGTTTTCGTCCGGCAGCGGGTGGATATGTTTGCGATGCCTAAGGCCGCCCTCCACTGTTCGCCCCAAAGTCATGCTTGCCTGGCGCTCTTGTCCATTTTATGTTGTGCGTTCCGCCCTACACCGCATGCTGATCCTAGCAGCTAATTCAGAATGGCAATCCATCTCTCACTCTCCCAAGTCATGCTTGCCTGGCGCTCTTTGCTTATTGCAATGGCTGCTGATGTTGAGCTTACACCAAACATGTGTCAATTGGAGCGCATGATCTGTGGTTTGCAATATTCTCACCACTGGCAGCCGAATTCCGGTCCTGCATATGACAAGTACAGGCTCCGGTCTCAAATTTCATGTGTTTGTGAATATGGATCAGGTTGCTTGCTCCACAAGTACAAGGTGTTCTTAAGCACAAGGTGTTCTTAAATTTGAAATTTGAAATTTGAAATTTCATTAAGCATGTTCACATGGGTTGGGTTGCTCGCACTACAGAAGTATGGGGCGTCCTACGATTGCCGAAGGTTGTTGAATTACATCCACAGCCGGCTGTTAGAGAAATAAGTGTGTGTGGTAAAAGACAGCACCAGCCAATTGCGCGTCCAATTCGGCAAGTGAACAAATATTCCGCCATGGCCACAAAAAGTGGCACTCCAAATAACGAGCAGTGTGCCTCCTCCGGACTTTTATCCTGTGGATAATTATTTGCATGGTGTGCTGACATTGTTGATGGTCATGTGGCCACAGTGGACCAAATCATTTTACAAGACCCTCGTTTGTGGGCTCTCCTTCGCTTCGAAGACTCGAAAGTACTGCGTCAATGTTGACGTCGTGGATGTGGATGTGCTGAAAGCACTGAAACGTGCCTTGGATGATCGTATTTCCATGTTTATGCCAGCCATTGCATCAGCGTGCAATCGAGCCTGTAATTGCTGACAGTCTGTTGCAGCTGTGTAGTAGATGTTTTGCAGCAATTCTGTTAAGATCCTAACAGAATTTCTCTAGGTCAAATGTACCAGGGACCTTCTCAGGCTGCCTCGTGAGGTGCCAACACAGCAATTTGTCGTAGTACCAGCCGATGAAAACCTTGCACATCATGGTAATATCTCCTGCCAATGCATTGCACACGTACAATTATCGCCCGAATAAACCTTGCACAGCATCCAGCATCAGCATTGTCAATCATGCATCAGCACCAGCATTGTCAATCCCCAGATTCCCCAGACACTTTTCAATCAAGGATGGCCCGCGTCGATGGGGCTATCAGCACACTGCCAACCTTCATTTCTCTCTACTTTGTACCCAAAGCGCACTATGTCCACCTGCTCTTTGGTGCATCTTGGAGTCACTCAACGAAACAACCTTTCCCGATCTCCACTGACCTTCAGTGTCAGATGTCCATAATCCTCCTCTTCCCCCGCCCCCCACATAAGCCTCTTGCAAGGATTAACAGTGGCCTCTCGAGTACTTAGCTCAGTGCTCTACATGGTGTGATCAGGTCTCTCCGCAGAAAGGATAATGAGTGTCATTATGAAGGTGGTGAATGTTGTTGCTGGATTGTGCAGAGTGCTGAGAAAGTGATTTTAGATCTCGAGCAGAATGCACATTGCGTTCGAGGCGCAACGCCACGCGTAAGGGGCGTCTTTGCTTTGGATGGATGTCTGAGTGGTTGAAGGTACCAGTCTTGAAAACTGACATATTACAAAATATCGGGGGTTCGAATCCCTCTCCATCCGTCCATGTATGTTAATTCACGGATAATGAATTCAGTACTGAAAATGATTATGGAGTATTCATCAGTGTACAGTAGCCTGCCAAACAATAGGATTTTTTTTTTTTTTTTTTTTTTTTGTTGAAGTCACAATTTTTTATTCATCTAGTGCAGTGGAGTTCGAACACCGGTCTGTAGTAGTGCAACAGTTCAGGGGCGTACCAACTGAGCCGGGCCAGTTGGTACAATAGGATTCTTAGCGATGCCTTAAATGCTGTTCGTGAAGCACACATATGATTATGCTTTGGCACGTAGTCGACAGGGTAGTAGGTCAGCAGCGCAAATATACATGACCTCGGGGTGTGGGTTGCTTCACAAGGCTCGGACACCCTTTCGGTGTTGGAAATAGAATGGCATCCGCAGTTTGTGGTCTCTAGTCCTTGCCTCTCTACAAAGAATTGCACTCTGTGCCATCAGGTGGGTGGTATCCTGATGGGCACTAATGCCGGACCAATCTCGCACTGTATTCGGATGGAGCACAGTTCATTGGCGAACTGCGTCAGCGACATCTGCGTGCATCGCAAAGCTTACGCATTCACATATCGATCCATCGATGACATTCTATTATAGAAGACATCTCCACCCCCTTCTGCTTTATATGATATCGAGCGGAAAGACACTGCGGAGGAAAGATGGGTCGTGTCTCTTCCTCCGATCACGATGGGCCATACGACGCAATCAAGACTTTTGTGTTTGTTAAGACTGAGGCTTGGACATCCCTTGTCATGTGATATCCCAGTGCTTGCTCCGTTGCCCCAGCTCACTGGCCTGTGGATATGTTTACTATGACAACACTACCGGCTTCAAAGCAGCAATGACTTCCCAGTATGCTTGCTAGGGGGCAATGACCTTTCTGCAAGTTTTTGTTCTTGTTTTTTTTTTTTCTTTTTGAAAACTTCTTTTTGGAAATTTCCTTTGGAAGGGTGGTAGGAGTCGTGATACAAGCGGCCAAGTCTAACACCTTGGTTTGGGACTCCACTCTATTGGTGGGCAGTGTTGAAAGATCAGTACTTGGCCCAGCTATCGATGCCGACCGTGAAAACGGGCTGCGCACCAATTTTTGCCGAAGCGCCGTGGTACTTTCAGTTTTCTTTTGGCTGGCGCTTCCAGGCATCGTGGTCCGGTACACCGAAGCCCTAAAGGCGCGGCGCATTAACGGGAAAGCGTCGCGGCCGATATCTGGGCCAAGTACTGGTGGTTTAAGTGCTGGAAATCGGGTACAGCGTCCCATACATCGACCCTAGGTGTCTGGTCCTGAAGAGAGCAGAAAGTCTCGCAATCGACAAAAAAAGGGGGGGGGAAAGCAGCTGATAAGGCAAAAAGGAGTAAAGGGCAAGGCCATTTCCGCGGGTGCCTGGTTACCCAAGATTTGGGTTCCTCTCGCCCTCTTGCGGAGGGTGGAGCCCCCCCCCTGCATGATTCTTTTCTTCTTTTTCTATTGCTTTTCCCCTGCCCGGGTGTCCTGAGTGTCAGAAACCCCCAGGCCTCATGCCCCGGTGACCGCCCGGTCTACACTGGCCGGTCATGAAAGCCTTCCGAGGCTAAGGGCGGGGGGTGGTCTTTCGGGAATCCGGCATACTGCGGCGACTGGGTACCGATGGGAGTCTCCGGCTGCAGGGATGGGCCAAGGACCGTATGGCACACTCGAGGATCACAACGAATGGGAGGGTCAACTAATGGATGACCTTCGGTTGATCGTTTTGGGATGCTGGGCCCGTTTCGCGGCACATGTCGTTCCGACGAATATATTGGAGCAAGTGG